AAATAATCATAGATAAATACAAGGGGGCTTCAAAAAGTTCATAGGAAAATGAAATGCCATTATCTTTTCATTCCATTTTGAAGCCCCATCTTATAACTGTGTGTATATGTGTGTATACCTACGATACATGCTCTCTAAATTTTTAGTTAGATGTGAACCTTCTAAGACATTCTTGCACTAATTATACTATATTATACAAATTATACTAATAAGTGCATTTTAAAAACATCTCATTGCAGCAGTACCAGTTAAAGCTGTCTAAAAGAAATATTTATCAATTAATCTGATGTAATTACTTTTGCAAATGTTTTACAACAGATAAGTCAGCTCCTGATTTGTCATCATTTTAATTGGCAAATGGAAAATGTCACAAAAGAGAAGCTGCCAAGGAGCCCAGAATCTTCTCATTTCGGAAATAATCAGCATACTTACTTTTAAAATACTTTATCTAAATAGCACACTGAATTTTAACAGTAGCCCTTAAAAAGCACAGGAACATGTGAGATACTAGTTACATCTCCTTGGGGTGCAGGCTATTTTATTTGCAGGTCATCTTAATACCTAGCCCTTTGTTTCTGCTTTAAAAACACAAATCAAATTTTCTAAATGCATTAGCAACAGCTAGAAAGCTGTTCTCTTAATTTCCCTGTGGTTACGTAATGTATTTTTTTGTATGACTACAAAACCTTGTCACAAGTCCACAGACACATATTGCTAGCAAAAGGATAATGCATAACAGATAATGCTCATAATTGTGATTCGTCAGTAGAATGCATTTCTTCCCTTCTAATGTATGCTATTTATTTGTTTGTGGCTAGTACACACAGCAATTAAAAGACACACCACATGCTCCATTCAAAAATGTAAGGTTAAGTCCATTCCACTTACCAAACTATTCCCTGAGCCCCAGAGCCAATAGGCTTTAGATTCTGGTAGCGCTTGAGAACCGTGAAGGTTGAGTCTCCCACTTCCACACTGTAGAACTGGTTGTCAACTTTGCTTTTGCTCATGTTGTAATGTTTGGCAATATATGACACATCCACTTGTTTATCGAATCCCTGTCAAAAGAGAACAAGAAAAAACATGAGGCAAGTGAACAACTAGAATGTTAATGAGATGTAGAGAAGCTTGTTCTTATAATGATAACTAACATTTGCTCAGCTATCAGCAGCATGTTGTTGATGTAAGGTAATGTCACATCAGTTCCAATTCATAGCGACCTTATACACTTCAGAAGGAAACCGTGCCCAGTCCTGCGCCATCCTCACAATTGTTGTTATGTGTGAGTCTATTGGTGCTGCCACTGTGTCTGTTCATCTTGCTGGCATCTTCCTCTTTTTCATTGACCCTCTACTTTATTAAGCATGATGTCTTTCTCCAAGGATTGGTCCCTCCTGGCACCATATCCAAAGAGCAAGACATGAACTCTTGCTGCACTCATTTCTAAGGAGCATTCTAGGTGTACTTATTCCAAGAGAGACTTGTTTGTGTATCTAGGAAGCAGTCCCTGGTACTTCTAATATAATTTCCAACATCATAATTCAAATGCATCAATTCTTCTATGGTCTTTCTTATTAACTGCCCAACTTTTACCAGCGTATGAAGTGATTGAAAATACCATGGGTAAAGTCAGGCACATGTGTATGCTGTTGTTGAGTGCCATTTAGTCGGCAATGAATCATAGCAACTCAGTATATGGTTTCTGAGGCTATAAATAGTTTCTAAGACTAAATCTTTACAGGAACAAAAAGCCTCATCTTTTTCCCATTGAGTAGCTGGTGGGTTTGAACTGCCTATATTGTTTGGCGCATGTTGTTTGTTTCTAAGTGCTATTAAACTAATTCTGACTTAGAGAGACCTTGTAATTGGGCTTCTGACAAGCGGCTGGTGGGTTTGAACTTCCAGCCTTTCAATTAGCAGTCCAGTACTTATCCTACAGTGCCACACTTGAATTCCATTAGGACATTGTTGTTGCTGTTGTTAAGTGCCATCATGTCAGTTCTTACTCAAAAACCCAGCATACGGTTTCCAAGGAGCAGCTGGATAGTTTGAACCATAGACCTTGTGGTTCAAAGAGACCTTGCAGTCCAGTGTTTATTTTAAAGTACCATACCAGGACATTAGATAGCTGGAATTCTACAGCTAAAAGGGACTTAACATGCGGTTGAATGCCAACCCAATAGTTAATCTCTTTTCTTGATGACAGGCTTGTTTTTCTTTTAAGTTTTGAGCACTCCTATGCTCTTTGGGCCCCACTCCAATCTCAGAATTTGCAAGTTTTGAAAATTAAATAATCTAACTCACTGGCTATCATCAAAGGGGTCATTACCACTCAGGGCAATTTGGGAGATTTGTGGGCATGTTTTTTAAAGCCACAATGAGAGGGGCTATGGCTTGCATTTAGTTAGCTTTTCAAAGAAAGCTGGTTATCTTGCAATTAGTGGAACATTCCCACACAATTAATAATGTTCCATATACCTCATCACTTTGTAACGCTATGCCAAACTTTAATTAGTGAAACAAAAATGCCTGTAAATGTTTTCAGCCTTGAATTTAAACCAAAGTATTTTTGCATGATTGTAACACACTGTCTTTCTAGAAATCTAATTTCCATATAACCTGACATAAAATTTAAACCTACACAGACTCAGAACCTCTGGGATAATCATAACACTATTTACCTCAGAAATTTTTGGCATCTCTATTCTACAAAAAAAATTTGAAATATAAATACAATCTAATTTGTTCCAGGAGTTCCTTGGAAAGAGACCCAGACTGAATCAGTAATTCTCCATAATGAAGAGAATAAAGTGAAAAGCATATGGATATGGGCGACTAAACCCATGAATGTGGTGCAAAGATAACAAGATGCCAGCTAGGTTAGCTAGATCCAAGACCAAAATGCATATAACAGACATCGGTCCACGATATGTTCAGATATGGTGACATGGATTCTTTATTAAGTAAGGCACAGACCTCAAGAACTGGTTTTGTTTTAGTTTTATAGATTAGGAATCTAGTTTGTATACACAGTAAACATAAAGACTGGGTAAATTTACAGTTCAATAATGTTGTTGTTGTTAAGTGCCGTCGAGTCGGTTCCAACC